ACACGAATGTAGTGCTCGTAGCGACCAAGATGACACATCCCAATCTCACGTCGTGGTCGTGTAGCCGTCGATGGTGCAGTGAGCGGCAATACTGTACAACTTAACTGGTTTCCCTGATTCCCATTAGGACCAGAAGATAAGAAAATGATAGCCGTATTAAATAGAGTTACAGAGGTCGAATGGAGTGTCCATCCAGTGACGATAGTCACAAGAACCCTCGTCCCACCTTATTCGATTGATTGCTGCGTCGACATCCCTGAAAAAGATATACTCGTACAAGGCACGGTGGGTGTAAATCTCATTGGCAATGTTTTCTCGTACGACTTGCCACAGCCCTTGATCCCCGTAAATGTAACTCGTGATAACCCTCCATCCACAGTTTCCATCCGCCTCCACATTCAAGTAGCTCATTACGAAGTCCAACATATGCCAGGGAATACTATTCCGGTATTCAAACCCAAATATATCTTGCGACGTACCAGCTGAAACATCGTAGTAAAAAAAATGTAATTAACGATATGTTGTATAAAAAATATAATTATAATATACAGAAATATTAAAACTTTAATTAACGATATGTTGTAAAAAATAAATATCACCTTCTGGCATATGTTGTGATGGTTGAGAAGACTGACTGCTTGTCGGTCCGCGCGAAGAAGTGTTTGTCGGTCCGCGCGAAGAAGTGCTTGTACGTCCTATCGGGCGACCTCTCGAATTATCCATGTACTCCCAGCGCGATGGCTTACGCTTAGTTGAATCGGTTTTCTTAGGACGACCACGGGTATTTTCCTTAACCTCAGGTTCTGCATAAGCTTGTTGGTCCGGGTAAAGGTGAGAGTACATGACGTGATTCATATAGCGAATCGTCGCAGGATCGCCCATTTCAACCTCTTGGACAAACGTTCAAAATACATAAACATCTGTCCATGCACTTTTGTTTTCTTGGCTCTGCTGATCTGTCCCTAAAAGTGTACGATTTACAAAAAAATCAAATAATTGACAACCGTAATGAAATCAAAATTGTAATTAACAATAAATCACAAAGTAGAAATTGTAAACGAAATATTAATCTTAAATTTCCTGTCTCTAACATCTCTAGTGTCCTCCAGAACTCGTGGACATCATCCAATTGAATCGAAATGTCAGAATCAGATGTCGTACGAAGCGAACAGGCACAAGGAATCCCATGAGTGGTGAGCAATACACAACCGCAGCGCTTGTAAACTTCATAGCTCAAGTCTCACATCCTCGTTAGCTCAGAGTTCAATATATCCAGGCAGTAATGCGAGACCCTCAGTGTCAAGCACGCGAAAGGGAATCCCGTAAACCCCGTATACCTCCTAAGTCTCGAAGACTCAAGCGTTCTCCTGGTAAATAATATATAGATATTAAATAAAAATATAAACTATATTTTTATATCTATTTTTATAGATATTAAATATATTTTATATATATATATATATAAATTAAAAAAAATATATTTTTATAGATATTAAGTAAATTATATATATCTATTTTATACATAATAAATCGAAACTAAAATGAAGTACCCATACCTTATTTCAGTCAACTGCGATTTGATCTCCGCATCAATCTTCTGCCACACGGTATCGAGCACGCCAGTCGACGTCTGAAGCCACTGCTTCAACACAGAGTGCGCACTCTCCACCCTACAGGAAGTAGTATTGCCAAAATATGTTACCCGATTAGTCCACGCTTTCACAAACTTCTCCTTCTGCACTAACCAGGTCTTCTCGACATATTCTAATACTTGGGGGGATTTCTCGTATTTGGCGTACAATTGAGCTACGGCAGTGTCGTACTCATCAACCGTATTAGCATCGGCAATCCGCTTCCACCTACCGCGCACGAAACTCTGGGCTAATTTCTTATTTTTCCCAAGTAAATAGTACACTCTGTCTTCCACATCTTTATTGATGTGCCACGTTCAGAGTAAGTGGGCAGATTGGGGAAAGTTCCTCCTAACAGGAGTCATTAAGCCCATCTCTCTGTCAGTGACAACCGCATTAGGATGTACCTGAGCAACGACGGATACAAAAATATTAATGACACAGAGCAAATAATTACTAAAATATTGGTACTAAATTGCACAAAATACTTTTATTACAAATCAAATAAATATTTTATCATTACCTCAGAGCCTATGAGAAGCCTCAGCTTATGGAGAACCCAATCATAACTGGTCTCTTTCTCGTCTTTCACGAATGCGTACGCAATCAGAAAGTTACTGTTGCACGGAGTCATGCCTATCATCTCGACCAACGACATCTTGTACCTTTACAAATGAGATCAAAAGAAAAAAATTTTTAAATAAAATTTAATCGAACATATTAATTTTAATACATACTAAAAACGTATTTAAAAATTAACACACCTGTTGGTTTTGTAAGTGGAATCTATGCCGACATACAAGTAATATGTCCGGAATAGTCTGACTGAATCTGGATGAGCCATGAATATGTGTGTCAACACATTTGTGTGCGGATCGGCTTCTGCATAAACTATATAGCTGCTGCTCCTAGCCAAATGTAGAAGCTGGGTAGTAACGTCCCTACTCTCAAAACTTTCCTTGCACAGTCTGTCTCTATAGTTATATATCTGTTTTACGGTAGCGTGGTCTCCCGGATTTTTTGCCTGGATAGCGGTCAAAATATTTGCTGGTCTCACCTTAGCAGTTGTCATATCACGAATAATATCTTTTGATGCGTCGCTGATACCGCTATATTGTCGATGGCCCTCGGGATACACAACAAATGAATGATTGTGGAATCCCCTCTCTTTGTTCTGACACGGGTGAATCATCCAGAATGTCGTTCCGGGCACCCGTTCTACTCTCATCTGAAACGGGCACATGCACCTGGTGGTTTTTGATTTTCGAGAAGCAACATCTACGTTTTTGCCGTTCGCCTCGTTTGCACTTCAAGATCTTCAAGTTTCCATCTTTTGTGTGTTTCGAAATAATCAAAGAGAAACCACTAAGAAGTGCCGTACCTTTTGCATCTTTAATCGCGGCGTCATTACTAATAAAGAATGTAGTTGTATTGAAAGCGGAACTGTAATCAATACCATCTCCTCCAAAATCTTCCAATGACACCTGCAATATATTACAATATTTATATTTTCTAAACATGTTAAATTATATTATATAACATAATAATTTATAACTCCTAAGACGAAAATATCTAACGTCTAAGCTATAACATAATTATTTCAATTCTATAATATAATAATTTCTAACTCCTATTTAATTTATTATTATGATAAATTATTTATTTTTAATCAAATAATTTATTATTTTTTTTAATTAACTAATAATATTATATTAATTAATATTATTTCAAATTTATATTAATCAATTTATAACAATATATTAATGAATTTATAACATAATTATTTCTAATTTATAACATAATAATTTTTAAAACCTAACGCAATAATATCTAACGTTCAACTTATAAAATAACTATTTCGATTCTACGACATAATAATTTCTAACGTTTAACTTATACATAAACAAGTCTAAATAATTTCTAATTACCAACACAATAATATCTAACGTCCAAATTATAACATAATTATTTCAAATCTATAACATAATAGTTTCTAATTCCTAACGCAATAATATCTAACGTTCAATTTATAACATATAATTTCTAATTCCTAAAATAATTATTATAATAAAATAAATTATAATAATAAATCAAAATTCAAAAAAAAAATTAATGGTGTCTGGTCGGTCGGACCGGCCGGACCGTGAACCGGTCGGCCGTCGCCGCCGGACACCACCTGGTCCGTACGGACCAAAAAACCGGCCGTCAAGCATAACGTCCGGCCGGTCAAACCGGACGCCATTTAGGCCGTCCGGTTTCGCCGGCCGGACGGGAAAAAAAAAAAAAAAAAAATTACCTCCGAATCAGAAGAATCGGATGACATTTTTGCGCGAAAGAAAATATGCGAGGGGCAAAATCGTCCAAAGGAGGCGGTGACTAGTAATAAGGGGCGGCAATTAGCAATACCCTAATTATTAATCAATTGTGTAAAATTAAGGAAGTCCAATTACAGGAAGCGTGAATAAAAAAAATGACAACCGGCACAACTTGAAGGTTTGAAAATGAGAAAATATTTGAAAGTCAGGCTACTTAAGCTTATTTTTTTGTTATAAAAAAATATAATGTATTATTACATGTTATATTTTTATTTAAGATATAACATTTTAGTATGATAGTATATGTATTGAGGAAATAACTATTTTCAACCGTAATGAAAAATAAATAAGTTTTTAGCTTTAACACGGTTGGATAAAAAGTTAACTTTTTCGCTTAAAAAGTATAAAAATATTATGCAATAATTATACAACAATGTGCAATTGACATTGTTCAAAAGTTAAAAATACAAATGCATCCACATAAAACCCTTCACACGTCCCAATGTGAATATCCGATAGTTATGCGTCTTATATGCCATAGTTCTGCTAACAATTTGAATAAACCTTCGCCTTATTTGAGGTGACAAGGTTAGATTGTTATCTAACTGGGTAAAAAACTTCACGTAACCTTCAAAGTTGGGTGTTAAAAAAATAAAAATAAATAAAATAAAATAAAAAAATTGACGTGAAAAGTGTGACTAACTATTAAGCAAACCTAACAAAAGATGGGGAATTTTCAAAAAACAATGCAAAAGTATAATTTAACAATTTTATATTTTAAGAAGGAAAATATATTAGTATAATTTTACAATTTTATATTGTAAAAAACAGAAATAAGTGTCTTTCATGAGTCAGGATCCAGACGCAACGAACCAGATCAATACCCAATACATGCTGAGCCAACACTCACATTACAGCTGAACGAGTCTCCATAAAGATGATTTTTGCACTAGCATTAAAACAATGGCAAAAAATCTGCACTAGTATAACCCTCTAAATAGGGAGAACAAAAACACAAATATAGATAAATAACCAGCCAAAAAACATAAATACTTCATAACCTCCTCTTTTTTCTACCAACCTTCCTCAGAGACCCGTCTTCAAAATCCAAAACAACTTGACGGTGCATCTCGGCCCAGAGTTCTTCGAACCGTGCATGAAAACCTTCCTGAAACCAATCCCGAATTTCCACAAACAACTCGGATGGGTTTTCCTCCCACAGCATTCTTAATTTAGCACGACTGTCGATAACTCTCCCTCTCGAATTCAATTTACTCAACAGATTGCCCACCCGTTTGAGCCCCCAAGCCTCGGGCTTCAACAGGCTCGCTGGTGGGGCCGCCATAAATTTACGCACATCTTTTAGACACGATAAAACTTGTCCCTCGAGCAAAGAAAAACCAAAACTCGCAGCTCTAGTGAAATCGTCTTTAATGGGCAAACCGTGCAAAGGTAGCTGCCAAAGATGAGGGCCGAAGGATGGGGACACCCATGAGAAGACTTGATCGGATATTGAATCATAGTAAGGTTTAGGCTCTGCGAGTGGGGCTGAGAAAGTACACAGCGACCGTGCATAACGAACGAGCCAATTCGATTTCACACTAGTCGCCCCGTGAATGTACGGTCTTCTACTGTGCAGTAATTCGCTGTAAACCAAAAACTCGGGTGGAGACCGAGAGAGAGATGACCTGCGGTTGAGGAAAATCATTTCTTCAACATTGCAAGCTTGGTATTTCACTGCATTAACATGTTTTTCGCCGTCTGAGGAGAAATTTTTTGAAACCCCTTTCACGCGCTTCGCGACTCGATCGGCCCACCCAGCGCATATGGCCTGTCCTAATATTTCCTCCTCGTCGAGCGAGAGAGGGTGTTTGTTGTACAAAACCCTCCAAGCATTCTCCACGTCATTGTGAGTGCCGTGGGCCCACGAGAACTCTTTCTCTATATCGGTAATGCTTGAGCCGAAAACTAACTGGAGAAGCTGTTTTCTCAGCTTGGACATTTCCTCCATCGTCTTGTGGTGCAAGGCATTCTCGGTGCAAAACTCTGTCTGGCTTCCAGAAAGTTCGAAGCACTGTAGTGCATAAGCAACTGTCAAGGCATCACTGGTGGGGTTAGAAAATTTCTCACGAGAAGCTCTGGCAATATGTTTTAACTTCTTCTTTTTCAATGATTTTTGTTCTCGGTCGGGACCAGATTTCTCATTGTGGTTCGGATCCTCTGTGTCGTTCTGGTTTTCGCCTAAATGCATTATGAAAGGGTTTGTCAAGCTTAAAGCTGCGGCTACTGCAACAGCATAGGCCAGAACAAGATTTGGCCGCGCACATCCTTTCAGTTTATGGATTATTTCAATAACTGTGAGGAGCATTCTGGAATGGCGTGGGCTCATTGGGTAGCGAGCCATGGCTTTCCCTAAGGAAGTCAACCTTCCCTTTTCATCTAATGCTTCTAGAACCTTCAGACAGTGTTCCGCTTCGTTTATGGCTTTGGTCTCAGGGGGCGTCGGGAAAGGAAAGTTTGCTACCTGAAGATAATATGAAGTTATCATTTATGCTAGCATTCATTGGCATTTGTAATTATCCAAAAACCATGCGTTGGGGAGAACATACAAATATGTAATTTATTTATTCACTTTTCTTTAAAAACAACTAGAAGGTAAATGATGAATACCGTCGCCATGTTTACATTTATTCCTTAGCATGTAAAACATGGGGTATTTCTATTTTTGTAAGAACTTATTTCCTATGTAGACTGTACTTCAAAGGTATTTTCTTTACTTTATCCTAAAAGTAAGACCAAACTAGAAGTGATAACTATGCAAATCACCTAGCCAATAAGCATGTACATAAGGAGAACATGTAATTTATCCCTAAAAATAAGATCAAACCAAGTGTGACAAGTGTATGTAAGTCACCTTGCCAATATGCATGGATTTCATAAGGAGAACAACGCCATCAACCGGCACTTTCGATATCTCAGCACTCGAGAAATCAGGAAATAAATTACTGAAGACTGCCGAGGAATACAGACGGTAACAGTGTCCAGGCCCAGTCCTTCCAGCTCTTCCCGCACGCTGAGCTGCTGAAGCCTTGCTTATCCACTGAATCTCATACGTCTCCATGCCATTACTAGAGTTATAATTTTTTGTCTTTTCTCGTCCAGTGTCAACAACATACTTTATTCCTGGGATTGTCAAAGATGTTTCAGCCACATTAGTGGCCACAACAACAAGGCGTTCCCCATCTTTCACTTGCTCAAATACACGAAGCTGAGCTGATGCCGGCAGCATGGCATAAAGAGGCAGAACAGTGAGTGGGCTAGGGGAGAAACTACTATTCTCTTTTTCTGTATTTTGTTTAATACTGGAATCTAACAGGTTTGCTGCTTCAGGCATTAGGTCAACCGCATTTTTTGCCTCACTTTTCCCAGCTAAGGATTCAAAAGCAGCCTTGAGCCCCGAAATATCCAAAAGATTACCATCAGACGACTCCAAAAGTTTTGACTGATTCTCTTCATCGCTAAAGAACTCCAAATCACTGTCCTCACTCGAATCATAGGATCCATCAGATTCATCAGCTTCCGAAAAATCTCCACGATCCTCCTCCATATAAGAACCAAAACGCTCAGTAATTTCATGGCCAGAATTTCCTTGAAATTCAAACGCTTCAGTTATCTCTTTCATATCATTTTCCTCTAAATGTTTCTCTTCATGCGCAGAGGATGACTCATTATTATTTCCTTTGACTGATTTTGCTACAATCTCTCGAGAAGCTCTACGTAATCTACGACACAAGTATTCCACCTCTCTCTGCCCCGTCACGAAAACAAGAATGCCCCCAGGTGGCAATCTCTTGTGGATTGATAGAACCTTTTTAAAGGCTTGACCGATGTAATCAATGATCTCTGTCTTCTTTGAGAAATGTGTAGTAACTGGATATTGGCGTGTTGGGACTTCGATTACAGGCGGAGGATTGCGAAAAATTCTTTGGTTAGAGACAAAATCTTCTACACGCAAAGTAGCACTCATCAGCACAAGTTTTAATGGGTAGATCCTGTCATCATGTCCGATAGTTTCCCCAGAAAGAATCCTCTTCTCTTGCTCTTTATATTCCCTCTACCAAATAGCAAAATGATATATATAGCATATTAAATTTTTATATTTTTTATGGGATAGAAACAGTCTCTATTAATTTAAGCTGTGAAAGGAATGGGAGAAGATAGTTTAATAAAAGATTCTGATCTTTCTAAGATCCCAGGTATCAAGAATACAATAAACTAAGAGGTTACAGATTGTTACTTGACGCTGTTGGATAACACGAGAAAGCATCCCAATGAGTATATCTGTATTTAGGCTTCTCTCATGAGCTTCATCCAAGATTAAAACGGAGTAACGCTTCAACAGAAAATCACTCTGCAATACCATAATCAAGATAAGAAGAAAACAAATGAAACAAACATTCGCATATAAGAAAAACAATCAAAGGTTATACAAATTATATCTGAACAATAAAAATCACCAGTGGTGCATTCGAACTACTCCCAACATGGCAACATTCAAATAATTCAAACCAGTAATGAGCTTTCTCCCACAAAATTACAATACTTAATAGCCACATCACCATCACAAATAAAATGTTCGGATGCAAATAAAAGACAAGGCTTGAAGGTAAAACCTGCACTTCCCGAAGCAGGATTCCATCAGTCATAAATTTGATCGAGCAATTCTCTCCAACCCTTCTGTCATGCCTAACTTGAAAACCCACCTCCTTTCCCAGTCGAAGCCCAAGCTCAAATGCTACTCTCTTGGCAGTTGCAAGTACAGCAACTCGGCGAGGTTGAGTGACACCGATAATGCATCCTCGACTATTTGAACAGTTCAATCCAAAACCAGCCTCATAAAGAAACTGAAAGTCATCACTCGATGCATCAGATTAAATATTACATCGAAAGAAAATTTATTATATGATATTAGCACAAGGAATGAGTAGAAATAACAAACCTGAGGGACTTGGGTTGTCTTACCGCAACCAGTCTCACCACATATAATGACACTAATATTTTCATTTATAGCTTCCATTATTTCTTGTTCCATCATGACTATTGGAAGACCTGTCCTTTGCTCTTCCACATCCTTGGGTCTTGACACGTGTATCACAGTTGGAGTAACAATCGTCCTTGATAAAGTACTGCTTCCCTGGTTATATTCTTTATTAAGATGGAATTTTGGATCTCCCTCTACTTTATGCTGCGTGACATAAACAAATGAGGACGTCTTAAATTAAATACATAACTGGTGCATGACTGTGCTTGTACTTGTTTTATGAAAACAACATGTTACAAGAAATAAACATGAGTATTCTAAAAATAACTTACCGTGGACTTGATTTCTTCTTTGTGCATTGAATCGCTAGATTCTTGTGTAATGTCTGGAATTGATGATACAATATTCTCATCAGCCACTTCCTTGACCGAAACAACACCACTTCCATCACAAGTTAAAGGTGCATTATCACAAACTTCATTTCCGGATGGCCCAACAAATTCATCTAAAGTATACTGGATGTTGTCGCTTCCATAGCCATTGACAGCTGGTGACTCGGTTTTGTCCTCATCTACTTCAACACTTTCATACACATTATTACTTCTTTTCTTTGTTAAAGGCTGATCACTACTGGGCAACTCCAAACCAGCTTTTGAAAATTCAACTTCTCTTCTACGTTTTTCTCGAACAGTTTCAACCTGTAGGCATTAAGGCCACCAAATTTATACTACCTCTCTCTCACACACACACACACTCACTCTCTTGTTGCCTTTTTTGTCCTGCACCAAATAGAATAATAATCATCAAATAAAACAAACCTGGCCCAAGTTCCTTGAAGACCACATAAGTGAATAAACATCTTCTCGAATCTTGTACTTCCTGACACACGAATATAAAGCACTGCATCAAAACCAAACTTCCTTCTATTTGGTTTAAATGTTATAACGAAATTCATTCAATCACAAATGAGGCTCAGAAGTTAAAATTCTTACTCCAATGTCTCGATGCTTTTAGATAGAAGAATTTCTTTTTGCTTCTCCTCCTACACAGCATAAATTCATACAAATCAACACCTGGCACTTCAATATTTATCGAAAACCATGCTAACTAAACGTTCTCAAGCTCCTGGTCAAGCACAAACCTCAAGTTTCTTCAACTTTCTTTTCTGGGATTTGCTAAGCTTAGGCTTTGCAGGTACCTAATTGTAATACAAATAGATAATTTTAAAGGCCACATCAAACTTGAATCCTATACAAGGCCATGACTAAAACAAAATATACTACAGTGAAAACACTAGAGGTCACTTAAAAGTTCTAATACCTGGGTTTTTCCTTTCTTTTCTTTTTTCTTCTTCGGAGGCAATATAATGAAATCTCCACCTTCGCTCTCCATACTAATTCATCCGGTTGCAGAGCAAAAACAAAATCAATTAAATAATAACTACACACTTATGTGTTTCGTGCCCAAATAAACTGGTTGGAACTAACCTGATTAATTCAGCTCCAGTAGAATTGCTACAGGGCTTCATTACTGTCGCCGGAGAGGAGTGCTTTACCCCGTTAGCTTGACCGTGTTTATCAGAATCCTCACTTTCCCGTCGTAGCTTTATGAGGTTAGCGGCGGCGGCGGCGGCGGGTAGCGAGCGAGAGCTAGAGGAGTCTGTGGCGCGTGTTGCTCGAGAGGTTTAACAAAAATATGGAGCAAGGGGTTGCCTGGCCGGCGGCGGACACGGGCATAGATTATAGGGAACGCGGGTGATTTTTGGGAAGTGAAGCCATGAAAGGGCAGTTGACCCGACCCGGTAAGGAAAGAAGAAAATTTATGGGCCGCTTGATAGAAGAGCTCCTGGGCTGTGGTTTGTTCTTTTCTTTACGATTGCTTGGACTTTTATTTTATGGGCCCTATGGCTCCATTTTTTCAGAAAAAAAATAAATAAATAAATAAAATATAAAACAAATATGTACACAAAAAAAAAAAAAAAAAAAAAAAAAAAAATCCGACTTGTCACGTTTTTTGCTTAGGTTGGTTTTTAGAGCATAATATTTTAATTTATTTCTAACATTTAATTTGTAAGTACATATGTTTATTGAAAAAATATATCTGAACAACAAAAAATTTAACCAGTTGTTCACTAGAAAGTAGAAAGATGTCTATCTCTTTTCATGTTTTTTTTTTTAATTATTATTTTTTCTCATTGATTTATTGTATCTAGCAAATTATTCTTCATATTTGATGCCCATTTGAATTATGCAAGCCTTCCCCATGTATGATCTCATCATTTTATTTCTTCGCTCCTTCTTTTTTACCAAATTAGTGCAGTACTCGTGCGATGCACGAGTTTAGTTTTATGACGGTAAATATTTAGATTTGGATGATTGAAAAAACATAAAACGCATGTATTGGAATAAACAAAATGTAACTTATATATTACTAGACACATTTTTATACACTTTTATTAAAAAATAGAGAGTGATATTTGGATTATAATAAGTTATTTACTTATTTTTGTGGGCTAGTGAATTAGTTTGTTGATGAATTATTTATTTATTTTGTGGGCTAGTGAATTGGTTTATTGATGAGTTATTTACTTATTTTGTGGGCTAGTGAATAGGTCTATGGGATGGGCTAGGGATACAATACAAATATATTAAGCCTATTAATTGTCTTCAGGCCAATAGTAAATCCGTTCATGAGCTCCGAGTCGACCTGAATGAGTGAATGAGGGTCGAGCTCCATGAGAGCTCGGACTGAGGGGTCGGTGTGACTTTGAGGTCGTATAAGCGAAAATCGTATTTCGACTTCAGATAATGGCTTGTGGCGGATGGGTCGCGAGGTCGATATAACGACCTAAGGATCCGTGACCGGCGAGAGATCAAAATTTTTGTAATGTTGACAAGTGTATCTTGCTAAAAGTCTAAGATCTTAAAGGTTGACAAGTGCAACTTAGGAAATGAGATATGGTAGGATCTTTCCTACCGTTTAACATATTCACGAGTAAGATTTGACTTGATTGT